ATAAAGACAGGAGAAATGGGTACTGGTTTGGCTACATCACTGCGACATTGTAAATGGCCAGATCAGGGAGCCTGTCATACTTAGAAAATGTAAAATGAAAAATTCGAGTGTTAATATGTCGAAGTTAATTCTGTTCTAGGGTTGTTACACGGGTGCTTGTGGGCAATAATGCTGAAGTTTCAGAGGGACGTGCTGTCTCCATCATCAGTGTCGAAGTCGACTTCTGGTACGTTGGCATCATTGCCCATGGCATCTCAAGAAAGGAATTAACACCAACAACTAACCACCGCGATAGCCTAAAACCAGTGATATGTTGCTATCTGATATTTCAACTATAATTTTGGCAATAAAACTTTAACAAGTAAAATAAATGTTTAATGTAGTTCTCATATTATAGAGCAAAATACCAGATATTTTCAAATGTAACTCTATCATGTTAATATATATTAACTCTCCTTAAAAGGGGGGCACGCGGTAGCATAGTTGGTTGAGGCACTATGCTACAATCTGGAAGGTCGTGGGATTGAATCCCGATGAGGTCGTTGGATTTTCTTCAATTGACCTAATCCTTCCAGCCGCAGAATGGCCCTGCGGTCGATTCAGCCTCTAACAGACATCAGTACCACGGATATTCTTGGGGGTAAAGGGTGGCCAGCATCTATGAGCCGATTGTCTGGAAAATGTGGGAACCTCAACATCTCACAACCCTATGGGCCTCCACGGCCTGTTATAGGGATAATTTTACTTTTTTTTTTACTTTAACTCTCCCTAAAATCGAGTCAATGGGTCAGTCGTTACTTGAATCACAAGCTCGATTATTGTATGAATTTCAAGCTAGGTCACAACTCCTGTAATTCTATCCGTAGTTCCATACTCAAAATAAAATCGGTGTAAATTAACTAAACATACATTATCGTATACGGTTGACCTTGACTACGTTATCTTGGAAAAGGAATCTGTTGCTGCTTGATAATACCGTTGTTGGCTGCTGAATACCTAACAATGATTAAATACGTCTGACCGGTAATACAATGCCAGTTTCTACAAACTCGGTATTTCCCGTTTTGGTCCCTAGTGCATGTACCATTATTCTCCTGGACACGCCACTTACTCAGCTCTGCTTAGACGGTTTCCAGACCCTACTAAAATGAAATCAGAATTATCATATTTGTTTTGGATAAAATCGCAAGTTTATGCTTGAGGGCGCCTGTCAAGGATAACTATAATTGGAGCTGCGATATTCAGATTCAACCAGAAACCAACATGCCGACATGAGAATGCTGAATATGAATAAAATCCGTTCGGCCGTTCAGATGCCAGCGAGGCGCACAACCATGCGTACATCCAGATAAAGACATAGAGAGAGACAGCGTACCAATATCACTTTTTTTTTTTTTTGCATTTAGACGGATCAGAAAATGTAAATTCATCAAAATCTCGAAATCAATTCTGTCACCATCACAATACTTTCTCATATACTTTAATATATCAAGTTTCTTTTTAAGGTTTTGACACTTTAAAATATGTAGAATTTCTTTTTTAGTGAGCACAAGTGTATATATCTTTCATACACCATGTGTTACATTAAACCATTTCATGTTACTTCCCCGGAGATCATGAACTTTTGCAAACGAATAACAAAATTTTTATGACCATGGTTAGTGTCTCTGTAGAACAGCTTCATTCCGTGACTGGATAGCAGTTCCGAAATTGTGTGCAGATATTTATGAAAACTCCGGCATTTCAAGGAAATCCACAGAAAACAACGCAAGGGTTTAAGTTCGATGAGTTTGGTAGTCACAAAAATCCTTCCTCAAATAACATAGGATACCCATGCAACAGGACTCAAAAGTGTCGGAAAAGAAGAGAAGTACGGAATTGTTGATGTCATGAGAGATGTTCCATGCTGTGCTGGTTGAGATACAAATCTGTCACCCTGAACGTCTCAGGCATTTACTTAGGCTTCCTGTTATGCCGACTTCTTCTACAGGAGAGATGAGCTACGTTTATACTCTTTCGCACGTTTAGCGCACATTATCTACTTCCTCAAACTGTTCAACAGACAATGACTCTCACTGTTTCAACACGAATAGAAAACTAGCGACGACTTGCCTCTCCATAGCACAACGAGAATCACTAAAAGACTAAAGGTTCGGCTAACAAATCCGTTTCGATCCCTAATATACGACACCATCTTATTAGTCAGTTCGGTGTTGCTAGCTGACACCATTTTCCGGATGGCGTAGAACGATCTGGGAAAGTTTCATACGTTTGTGTTCAATAAAAAGAAGCGCATATTTAAAATATCAGATGACAAAAATCTTTCTATATATGAGAAAGTAAATATCTGAACCTTGTGCTTGGAGGCTATGAAAGATATATTTAAATGTAGAATGGAATTGTTGAAAACACTAACAAATCGTCATAACGAAGACAAGATGGATATATGCATGAAAAATTTGGCAGTGATGATTACGAAAAATTGTCATCCCATTTAATTGTGCAAGCGAATATGAGCATTATGTCAACAGCGTAGGTTCATTTCCCGGCATCATCATTCCCAGTCACTGCAGCTACTTTTGTACACATCGTTCTGATCGATCTACTTAACATTTTTGTAACATTTTCTCGTATTTTTCTTCCTCTTCTAGCAGCAAACTAGCTACTAAGCTATGATCCATGTTTTCTCTTCCATCTCTTTCAGTACTAAATAAACAGCGGAAAAGAAATCACTTGGGCCCGGATCTTTATGCGATAAAAACACTTAAAATATGAACCAAAGCACTTAAAATATGCGCTAAAAAGCGGGAAAATATGCACCAAAAATAAAACAATATGCACTTAAGAAACAGGTCACTTTATACAGACTCGCCTCACAATAGGCAACTAGAGGTCTTTCAGTGTTTTCTGGAGACAAACTGCGTCTGTTGTCCGTCAAAATGAGTTTATAGGCTGATAATGATCTTTCTACATCAACTGACGTGATTAGACAGTATTTATACACAGGGGCCGAAGGTTCGGAACATTCATCTGGCAAAGATACCCCAATTCCACTAAAGTACTGAATAACTGACTGAATCCTTTTTAGTCCTGGGTTCGATTTCAACACCTTTTCTAAATGATATAATGATACAAATTCCGTCCCAAGTGCATTTATCATATGGAGTGCAACAGGATGCTTAAATATAATATTGTAAACCTTTTCTAACTTGAATTTAATCTTCTCTCCAATTTCGCCTGGAGCGGAAATCAGTGAACAAGTTGATTTTTGAACGAGTTGAAGTGAGTCGTGAAGGAGCGCACCAAAAGATTCTAAGCTCTGAATAGCTATTGAAACTGTAGAAAAATGTGTATGAATAAAATTCACATCTTGATAAACAGTATCACTTCCAAACACCACTTTTGCTTCACGGACACATGCATACTCATCTTCAAGTTTCGTAACCACTTCTTTTACTTGATTGAAATTATCCTGATAAAATGAAACTGCGGATATCCATGTCCCCCACCTAGTTAGGACAGGTTCAGATGGTAGAGGAACCTGAGGTAGGCAATCTTTGTAGAACTGGACACGAGCTGGTGCTTTCAGAAACAGTTTTTTTCCCACTTGCAATTAAATCGCTAACAGCTGGAAACTGTGCGCGTATTTTTTCTGCAATACGGTGTAATCCGTGCGGTAAACAGGTTAAGTGTATAAGATTTTGATAAAATACTTGTAAGGCCTTTGCTGCTTTCAACATATAGGAAGCTCCATCTGCGAGTAATACAAGCACCTTACAACAATTATTCTCAATTTCAGATGGCCATAGTAGTCGCAGAGAATCATTTACAAATCTTGCTATTGTGCTATGGTTGGTTTTCTCTAGTGCTTTGCAAGCAAGAAGAAGAGGGTTGCCGGGTTCGTCTGGATGTAGCTTACCAACTACGAAATTTGCTATGTATCGGCCACATAAATCGGTTGTCTCATCCACTGATATCCAGACACACTTCCCTCCGATGTCAGAACGGATTGACTCCAGAGTAGATTCATACAACAAATGTAGATAATTTTTTCTAAGAGTTGATTCATCTTGAATTTTTTGAATTACACAATATTTCTCCAGAAATGATAGCAGAACTGGACTGCTTAATTTATTCCATGGAATGTTGCTGCATACTAAAGCCTTACAGAGATCGGCTGAAAATGTATTAACAGAGGACATGGGTTTGACCTGTGTAAGAAGTAGTTGTTGTGGTGTGCTGTTTTTCTTCCCCTTCTTTGCCACAATATGTGCAGTCATTCTTGAGTGTTGTTCAAGTTGTAATTTCTTTTCACATTTCACTCCCTTTGCACACACTTGACAGTACACGATGACACTGTCTGTTGAATAGTCACTATTACCCGACACCCACCGAATTTTTAAATATCTACTGCTGCACTTTTCTTTAGGCATTCTCAGTATATGAACACTTCTTTGATGCAGACTATTAAAGTAAAGAGTAACACATTAACTGAAGAGACTTCTCTAAAGACCAACCCTCTGATGCTACTGTCTGCTGTGGTGGTCAAAGAAATGCAGGAAAATCCCACCCCCTCCCTTTCAAAATGGCCAAGCAACCTGCTCGTATTGTAAGTGGTAAAAGTGCTGTTACTCAGAGAGTTGAGAATAGCAAGCAGCAAGGGATGTCCAAAACACAGGCAAAACCGATTTTGTTAGAGAATATTGAAATTATCCTTAATTCCAAACATATATGCAGAAACATGCTATTACGTTTAGAATATGCAATAACGACCAAAACCCATACAAAAGCATTTGCCTATGCACATATGCATTTTAAAAAAATTCGGGCCCTAGAAATCACTAAACGCGGCTGTTGACTGGTACCTTCTACCGCGACTATCTAACATGGCGGTCAACAGCTCCAACAAAACGCTATTTGCAACTGCGACTAGTTGTCCACCCAGTGTGCTTACTTTATTTCATTGGCATGTGATCACGTTAGCCACTTAACATACTTACCCAACATTCCTTGAAGTATTTCATCGTCCCACGGGAAGAGCCTCATTATATCCCATGAAGGAAACGGAATGTGAAGAAAGAAAGCTAGCTTGCACCTCAGTTTTTCCTCTTCAACCACCTGAAAATAACAGTAAATTTCCTGAAGCGAACTAGAACAATACTTCAACTTTAAACAGTATTTTAATTCCCATGATTAAACCACTAATAGACAGAATACAAAAATTACACCACATATTTTCGGGCGTATCTTTCGTGAACCCCTGGGGAGTATTGAATGCAAAAGACCAAGGAATCCTTTCCATAAATAAAACCAGACGGAATGCAGAGGAGGATATTCAAAAGAATCAAACACTGGAAATGAAAGTTACATTAAGAAAGTACGATAAGAAAAAGAAAGAGGGAGACCAAGACAAATCTGGGTGAGAATATTTAGATAAAAGAGAAAACATACAGGACAAAACGAGATGAAAATCAAGCTGAAGACAAACTGCTTGTGACATAATCAAGCAGCTTCCACTTTCAGATATTCTCTCAGATGAAATGATGAAAGTTGTGGAAACTGGAAGAGGAGTGTAGTTCTAAAAAAGGAACAGTCCGTTTTGATAATGTCACAAATTTAGACCACAGCACTAGGCACTAGTTATTATTATGGGTCATTTCCACAGTATGGTGCAAGAAAGAGGCAGAATTATGAAGACAGAGAAAGAGAGAGAGAATTAGAAAATTCAGAGTGATACAGAAGTTGGCAAAACTCTCAGGTAGAAGCCAATAAATTAGAACAATATTATATTTAAGTATCCTGTTGCAGTTTATATGAACAAACTAGTATATTCCAAAGTGTTCTGACAATGGCGCATAACACTCAGAATTACTGGGATTTCGAAACTTTGTCCATCGTCCCTAGTTCTAAAAATTATAAAACACAACGTTTCGAAAAATTGGATCTGTTTCCTTCCTCAGCTGAGGGGGTGAGACACCTACTATATTTGGTCCCTTGAGAAGAGTTAACCTCAATCACTAGACAACCCATGTCAGAGCCAGAGTTACTTTACGACTGAGTTGTAATCTATCTCTCAGTCAGACCGGACATTTACACAACAGAGTCAGCCATCAAATAGTATAAAATATTAAATAAATAATAAAAAACGTAACAACCTGCCTCTGAACACCACATCAGCTATTGTGTATATAATATGTTCGTATAAACATTACATGTATTACGATTAAAACTGCCAACTTCCAAATATCATTACATGTACAACTTTTAACTATACTTTTGACTATGTAACTGCTTAATTTAAGACTTCAACTTTTATTGTAATATATGTTTTATATTCACTTATATCATTTTATACCATTGTATACACTTGGAAGTTTAGCATTGTATCCTATATTTGACATGCAATTCAGTAACGAAAAGTTTAATGTATTTGCCTGATGATGTCCTTTTGAAGGCCTAAACATGTAGCAAAAGTATCTCCTCATCGGGACTTAAACCCGCGACGTTCCAGCTTGTAGCATAGCCTCTCAACCAACTACGCTATCGCGTGCCCCACGACGGTTTTCAGTAAGAAATAATATTACGACTGGAGGTTTACTGCCAATTGGTTCTTCCTGGCGGAAAGTCTGTGAGACCCACGACCAGTAATTTTATTTTCCAACTGAATTCATTGCGGTTATTGCCCTTATGTAATGTCCTCTCTGACGAGAGGATGATTGTATCATTTACAATTGCTGCCGGTCTTCGCAAGCGCAGTCATTCTCGGGTCCGAGTCCCGCAGGAATCATGATCATATTTTACTGTCTCAGATTCCAGAGTCCTCAACATGGAGTACCAGGTCCGCGTATTTATATCCCCCAAGAACAGTGTGGTCCGGATATACCCCCAGGCACCGGGGACAACCTATGTGAATCCGAGTCTTATGTTACGACCGTCGATCAGTCGGCCAGTCTGTCTTGCAATGAAGCACAGATCTGGGGCTTATGACCAGATTTTTATTGCTGTCGGACAGTTGCGTGTTTTTTTTATGTGGGGCGCTTTATCTGACAGGACAAAGGCATGTAGTTCACAATTGCTGCTGGCCATTGCCAGGGCAGTCATTTTCGGGTCCGAGTCCCGTGGGACACACTCAGATTCGAGACTTACATTTCGTCTTCTCCTACAACTCGTAGGGCTACAGTGGAGGTATTTGACCTCACCTCTACACGTGATCAACCGATGTTATCAACCGTTATCTCAGCTTCAAATTTAACCATCCGTTGCATGTGAAAAGGTATCTGATTTAGAGTCTTCACAATGGAGCTTCCACCATATGCCAAGAACAAGTTTTAGATGATGAAATTAGCAATCTGAAACATGATCGTCAGCTCAACGGTTATTCCCAAGTTTTCATTGACTCAATCATTAATACCAAGGACAGCAGTTGTCAGAATAAAGAGCAAAAGTCTCTGGGATATGCGTATATTCCATATGCGAAGGATGTTTCAGAGAAGTTCAGACATATAGGGAATCGATATAATCTTAGGATGATTTCCAAAACTAAACACATTGTTAGGAGTTCTCTTGTGAACACCAGGCCGGAAAGAGATCCGCAACAGATGGCACAGTGCGCCTATAGCATTCCCTGTGAGAGTGGAAGAAGCTACACTGGCGAAACAGGCAGACCTCTAGCCACGCGGCTCCATGTACATAGACACAATCTCAAATGAGGTCATCTAAAAAATCAAAATTAGCCCAACATGCCTATGAAGAGGGTCATATGGTAGGTTGGGATGAAGCTAGAATTTTGTAAATTGAAAGTCTTGGCAGGTATAGGAAATGCAAGGAATCGGCCCATATGACATACTTGACCAATCCGATCAGCCAACCCAGTTTGGATACTTCTCCCATCTGGATCCCCTTTATCGGCAATGAGGTTATCAACTCACAGAAGATCTGTATGACGTGACATATTCTTCACGAGTTTCTATTAGGTTTCTTTCTCTAGTGATCAGGTTTCAACTCACTGATGGTGCTAGCGGTAGGCATTATACGTTTACACAAATTCTCCGTTTAACAATATGCATATGTGTTCGTGGACTTGGTTTGTTGGCTAGGTTTGCAGTATAAATTTCTACCTCCCTTTGTATCCTAGTTCCGCGAATGTGTGTCTTATCACAATTTCTATTTTATAATTTCCTGTTATCTCCCTTTGACATATTCTAGCCTCAGGTACTTAAACACCAATTAATTCTTCATTAATATATGCTACCAGATTCAGTTCCTACTGGAAGTTGATACGCATGACCGCTTGGATCTTTCGTTTCAAACCATCACTACTCCATCGAGAGAGACTTCGAGGTGAATTGACTGTGGCGGAATTTGCGGCGGCTCGTACCTACTGGATTCAGAATGTACAAGAGGAATGCTTCGCTGTCGAGCTTTATGCACTTCGGAACAACACACCACTACTGGAAGAATCCAAAATCGCTTGTTTCAACCCATTCTTAGACTCTGGGCTCATTCGTCTTGGCGGACGGCTAAATTTTGCACCGCTAACGAGAGAGCGGCGTCACCCACTCCTACTCGATGGGCAACATCACTTCACGAAATTGCTAATACAACAGACACACATTCGCCTACATCATCTCGGACTTCGCATGGTGTTGGCAGAGCTGAGAGATGAATTTTGGATCCTCAGATCACGGCAGATGAGAAAGAAGGCACTACACCACTGTCTGACCTGCAAAATTGTGAAAAACACTCGAGGACAAGAAATTGAAACACCACTGCCAGCCGATCGTCTTAAACCCACTAAGCCCTTCACCGTCACCGGTGTCTATTTCGCAGGTCCCCTCTATTTCAAGGTGGGGAGCCTGACACAGAAAGCTTACATCGTACTCTTCACCTGCGCAACAACCAGAGCTCTGCATCTTGAGCTTGCCTCGGATATGGATACCGACAAGCTTCTAATGGCCTTCAGATGGTTCTCCGGAAGAAAAGGAATCCCACACACCATATACTCTGACAACGCGAGGATGTTCCACGCTGCTAGCAAGGAGTTAGCAGAGCTCAGTCAGATTTTTGCTGACCAACGAACAAGTCAGCACTTCACCCACAACGGTATCTCGTGGAAATTTATCGCATCACGGGCGGCTTGGTGGGGAGGCTGGTGGGAACAGTAAAACGTTTCCTAAGAAAGGTGTTGGGTAAAACCCAAATCAATGAAGGAGCCCTCGTAACACTGTTAATGGAAGTAGAAGTCGCCATAAATTCTACACCAATCGTTGAAGACGACTCCGATGTGCTGACGCCAAGTCACTTTCTAAATGGTGAACGCTTGACGGCATTGCCCACCAGTCCGTAGCCCACCATCCGAGACAACCTGAGAAAAGAAGCCAGCCTTAGGGAGAAAATGCAGGAAGACTTCCTAAAGCGGTGGCAGAAAGAGTATCTCCTCGACCTGCAAAGTTATCACCAGGTGCGGCGCCCTAAGGGAAGATCTATGGAATGTCATGTAGGAGATATTGTTTTACTTCAGCACAATCTACAACCATGGCACATCTGGCAGAGGGCTCGAATCCACGAAACACGACCTGGCCGAGACGGAAAGGTGCGGCAATCATCCTACGGACCGCCAATGGTACCAACGTCAGCAGACCTGTGCAGCTGGTCATCCCACTGGAGATCGACCAGGGTTGGGGAGGATGTGGAGGGCTGACGTCTCTTAACTACAACTGCTCCAACATCGCATTTCTTCCTCTGTCATTTCCTTCCTCTCCTAACTTTCAGCCTCTATGGTGAGGACATGTAGGTGAAGAGAGAGAGAGAGAAAAATATGGCTACTGTGCGAATAGTGCTGTTTACTTGCTCCCACAGCCTGATTATGTTCGATTTTGAACACTGGTATATATTGCATGCAGAAAGAATGCGGCAAAAGGTAAACTTAATCATTTGGTTAATTAATTGAGCACTACGCCATGAAGACATAAGGGAGGTGGTTGTATACTCCGCGATTTCAGTCCGCAAGCGAACCACACTGACCGAGCGACCGCCGCTTGTCTGCGAAGTTTAGTGCCTAGCTTCTTTATTCTTGACCTCGGCACTAGGTAAAGGCATTATCGCCGGCGAAAGAATCCTAGGTACGCATTACATAGGAGGTTGGGTGGGTCCCAGATCTGGTTTGAATGGTGTGAAGAGGAAAGTCTTGACCCTACCGTGAGAATTTCAGGATGAAACCAGAATTGAATTAATTGTGCAATTAAGGGCAGATAGGATTTTGAAAATATTTGCTGCTTTCAGTGCTGAATCCATTACAGTAACACACGCATCTAAATTAGAAAAATTAAAATTACTCCTTTTTTACATAAAATTTAAATGTAGCAGTGAGACGAAGGCCCTGAAATTACGCAGTTCAGGATTGTCATAGTGATGAATTGTCAAGCATTACCTCGTTTCATGAACATACACGATGCAGCAGGTCACAAAATGATGAGTCTTTTGTTTCATTCTGAGAGGAATGGTAATATTTGGATATGGATATGGGAAGAGTAGTTAGTGTTTATCATGGAATGTGATTTGGTTTATAGGTAATATGACGACCATATAACTATAAGGAAGATATATTTTAGTAAATTCTATCTGTGTAGGCCCTATTCCTCTTGCCAATTTTAAGTGTAACACTGCTCTTCATTAGAAGTATTGTTGAAAGTGATGCAGGGACTGGTTTGACATTTTATTCTCTCTTGGCAAGTGGAATTAGCCCATGTGAATGCATCAACAAAATAACAAGATCGTTTGTGTTGTTTATATGTGCCTGGTAGTATCAGTCACATTTACTATAGCCCTATTAGTAAATGAATAGGAGGATGGCTTGAAATTCCACTGGGAATTCTCTGAAATCAGTTTGCCTATAAGAAATCGGACCACAACATTAATATTTTTAGCTTGCCTATGATTTAAAATCATAATTTCACCTTCTGTTTTGAACAGATATGTAACTTATGTCTGTTCCATTAAGGGGAAAACAGATGTTGAGCGTGTTTGGGAACAAGGTCCTGAGGTGAAGATTTGAACCTAGAAGGGTGAAAGTAAGATGAGACTGGCGAACGCGTTTGTAATGAGGAGCTTCATCATTTGCAAACTTTCATAATAACATTAAGATTGTAAGATTTGAGGCTTTCACGGCGGTGACTATAAAGAAAGCAGTCTTCTGGGATTTGGCATCGTGTATATGTGGTGTGGTGTTCTTCAACATTAAGATCATCAAATCAGGAAGATGGAATGAGCAAAGCACATAGCACGTACCTGTCGGATAGTGGTAGCAGCCACCAGCAGCTGGTAGTCGTGTATCCACACTACTGGGCATGTCTCAAACCTCTCCTGATCATCCAACTCTTTCGCTGACTTCCGCAAGGCTTCCAATGTTCGACTGGCAAATTCCTTGTTCACTCTGCAATAAGCCTGAAAATGTTCCAGAACTCTCACTCTCTTAGCCCAAATGAAACAACATTGGGATTTTGAAACACTCTCACATAACCATGATATCCTTTTGGTTTTTGAAGACGATTGTATCTGTCCCAGTTTAGTAACTTTTGAATCAGTTGATGAACTTTTATGAATCTTTGTGTGAAAATCATGCAATCTCATGTAAGCCCAACTTAGTGTTTTATTTTCCCAGGAAAAATAATTCCATTGCAGTGACTGTGAAAATGTCAAAGCTAGGCCATGAAATTTTAATGTACTGCAGGACTTAAAAAAAATGATGTAGCTTCTGTTAACATCACTTTCGTCCGGTATTTAATAAAAATATGGTGACCTAGCAAATATTTAAATTGTCACTTAGCTATGCCTACTAAACCATTCAAGCTAAACACATAAGTTGCATAAAAAGAGGCATTTCATGCCTGCAAATTTTAAAGTTAAAAATTACAAGTAGTTACTATAGGATTCTGACGATGGTGTATAACACACAGAGATATTGGGTTTTCGGACTTTATCCATCATCCTGGTTTTTAAGATAACTAAGAAAAACACAACGTTTCGGAAACTGGATCTGTTTGTGTCCTCAGGTGAGGAAAAACACCTATTCTGTTGGGTCCCTTAGAAAGAGCTAGCCTCAATCACTGTCCAGTGTTTTTCTTAGTTATCTTAAAAACCAGGATGATGGATAAAGTCTGAAAACCCAATATCTCTGTGTGTTAAAAATTACAGATATGGAGATGGTGTAATTCTATGAGGCTATATCTGACAACAGCTAATATAGAGTATATTAGTAGTAGCAAATATCAGGTTCAGAAATAGAGCATTAATGTACAAAATTATTGATTTTAAAAGTGAATTATGCTTAGTATACAGGTGTAAACCTTCAAAGAATAGTAGACCTCATCAAATCTACCTTGAACTTCGTTTGGAATATAGATCTCATGGGATATGACAAGTGAGCACCTTTAAATATTTTATTCCATGTACGTACATCCCAAGTGTGGGCCTTGAAAACTGCACGGTCTGGCATCGAATGGAAGAGCGGCCAGAATGTTCCGTTGCAGCATCCATTGTAGAAATCGTCGAACTCTCTTTCTGGGATGTGAACTGCTATTACCTGGTAGAATCCCCAGAGATGTATTACTAAATACTACAGCCAATATTGCATTTTCAAAATGTGGTACATAGAGAAAATCAATATTTATATAGCAATAAAAAGAGAAGAATTTAAGACCAACCAAATACGTATATGATGTCACTCTGAAGCCACTACATCACGTTACTAAGATACCCTTGCAATATCGCATTGCTTAATGAACATCCTGTGGAGGAATAGTGCAGGTAGAGCACTAGGCATTTGTATTGTCTGCACTACATGAATGACTCATCTCCCCATCTCTGGTGAAACGAAACTGACACAAAATTGGATGGATGCTGCATGAACACCAGGAATAATCTTGTCTCAATAATAGGATTAATACTACTTACTTATGGAGCTGAGCTCCTCTTGAGGAGAAGCCAAATCTGCAGCTACTCAAGAATTTCCCAGCATTGTATGGAACCTGAAAGTTTTTTTACTGCTAGTGGGGTGGGACTAAGTCCCTTGTACTGCAGCCACTTCTGGCCTCTTGTACGAGACCCAGATAATAGGTGAGGGTGATTGTGAAGCAATTGGTGGAATGAAGATTGGCAGGGGAAAACGAAGTACTTGGAGAAAACCTGCCCCAGCACCACTTTGTCCAACACAAATCCAACTTGACCAGACCCAAGATTGAACCCTGGCCGATGCGGTGGGAAGCCAGCGACTAACCGCTTGAGCTGTGGTGCGGCCAACCTGAAGGTTTATTACCATCTTCACAAGAGCCCTCCACTGGTCCCTATCCTGAGCCAAATCAATCCAATCCATACCATCCCATCCTATCTCTCTAAGATCCACTTTAATATTGCCCACCCACAGTGGGACCAATTCATTATGTAATTAAGGAAATAAATACATAACTAACTCCATGGAGATGAGCCCTTCTTGAGAAGCCGCCAATTGTGCAGCTACTCAAGAATTTCGAAATATTTTATGGAACCTGAAAGTTTATTACCGTGTTCACAAGAGCCCTCCACTGGTCCCTAAACTAAGCCAGATCAAACCAGTCATTTCCACCTATCTTTTCTCTCTAAAATCTCTTTTAATATTATCCCCCACCTACATCTTGGTCTTCCTAGTGGTCTCTTTCCTTCTCACTTTCCCACCAAAATCCTTTATGCCCTCAACCTCTTCCCCTTTCATACTACATGCACTGTCTATCTCATTCTCCTTGACTTTATTATTCTAATTATACTTGGTAAAGAGTACAAGTTATGATCTGACTATGCAGCTTTCTCCAATCATCCATCACTTTATCCCTCTTTGGTCCAAATATTCTCCTCAGCACTCTGTTGTCAGACACCCTCAGTCTGTGGTCTTCCATTAAATATCAGAGACTAAGTTTCATGTAAATACAACACAGCAAGAAAAATTATAGTTTTGTATATTTTAAATCTTATGTTTTCAAGCAGCAGATAGAGAGAACGAATGTTTCTGAACTGAATGATAGTACACAAACCCGAAATCAATCTGCTTTTGCTTTCCCCATGAACTAAAGTGTGGCAAATTATTGTCGTCAGTAAATACTTGAACTTTGCCATATTTACAAAGGATCCATTAGCTACCTTTATCTCAGTGGCGTGCTGTGCATGGAAGCAAGGGAAGCATTGCTTCCGTAGTTAAGAAACGAAAAGAAAAGAAGTAATTTATAAATAATTAAATTTAAATAATAAGGATATGAATATTGTCATGTTCTGAACATTTTAGCGCATGGTGATGCTAAAGGCCACATGCCTCCTCCCTTTCCCTGCTTGGTGGTGGGACCAAGTTTCCTTTCGTTAATTTTCATACGAATTCATCACACTCGAAGTGGTCAGGGAAGCAAATTTCAGTTTGCTGGCTTCTACGACCATGTCATCAATAATTTTGCTGCTAAGGACCGGAGAATTGATTTGGTCTTCAAATAAATTTTGGTGAGTTGATTGTTATCAGTTCGTTTACTATATACCTCTGCTTCCCTTACCAAAAATAGTACCGCAAGCCACTGCGTTATTCTGTGATTCTTCTCAGTATTCTGGTGAAGACACATCAACATGTAGATACTTAGTTTTCTCTGTGTTTACATCTAGTCCAGCCTCATTAATAGTGTCAGAGCTCCTGTGTTTTTCTTTATGGCAGTTATATTACCTGCCAGCAGATTAACATCATCAACATAGACCAGAAGCTGATGTGTCACATTCAGTTTCAGTCCGACCTGATTTTTTTGGGCTTTCCTAATGGTGAATTGTAAAGCAAAGTTGGAAAGCAACAGTAATAAATCATCTCGTTTTAGACCGTTTTCAATAGGAAACTTATGGGCTTCAATATAGGTTTCGTTTAAACACTTTAATCAGCTCAACTAGTTAACATGATGCCTAACATCACTGACTCTATTGTCATTCAGTAACCGAGAAAAGTAGTTCTCGCACCTATTCAAAATGCTGTGGGCATCTGCAAGCAAATCACCATTCTCATCCTCCACTAAGTTACTTCTAGATTGACAAAATGTCTCGAATCATTTATTCATTTATATAGGTCTATAATGTTCTTGTTCTTTCTGTTTGTTGCAAGCTCATTAATACTGATTTTCAAATATTCTCCCATTTAATTCTTCAAATGCCTACTTGCTTCATATTTTATACCATTCTGGTTGTCACCATTTGTTCTTTTGGGTCTTGTAATCATTATAATTTTACTTGTTTCCTTTGCCATAATAATTATGAGCAAGCTTCATCAAAACATGGTTTATGCTGTTCAATTCGTAATAACCTAGATAATTTTTAGTTAAAGTATATATTTTACCTAATAGTGTCCCATGTTCTATTAACCTGAGTTTTCTGAAAATCTCTGTTGAGGAACAAACCCTGGTCATCTATCCCTTAAACTAATCATTATTTGAGGGGCTATCTAGTGGCATAAATTTCCTGCATAAGTGTTCTGAATTTAAAACTGGTAACCACGCACGATGCTTTAAATTAAAAAACAGTTATCATTGTATGGGCTTTATTATCTTCTTTCAGTTGTGCATTGTCACTTGTGTAAGTTTTCTTTGTATACACCATAACTTCTTAAGCTAAATTTCTATGCCAGTATTGTATACAAGTCAGAAGTCAACTGATGTAATAAACATCTTTCTGTATAGCAAAACATTTCTCATTTCTGAATTGGCTCATAAAATGAGTATTTTATATGTTCGAGGTATTTCAGGATGGGATGTATGCCTGTGACTACTAGAACCTCCACATAAATACATAATAAGTCTGTGGTTTGTTCTGTGAAGCTCAAGAGAAACCAACAGGTGACACAGAATGCTGAAAATATATATCAGTATGCTAAAATTAGTGTTTTCATTTACAAGTTTACAGTTGTGCATAAGAATAGAATGTGAAAAAAAAATGGAAGTATGGAAAAGTGCTGGCAATAATATAAGGAGTATGAAAAACTCATATTTTATTTAATTTTACATCATACTCCCATGAAAATAATTTTTTTAAAGGTCTGTTACAAATTAAATACTTCCAGAAACGTAGCTAAATATTTTAATATATGTAATTCTAATAACAAGCAACTCTTCAGAATGACAATGTTAAGTTAATTATATCCTAAGTATCTCACTTATCACTGGGTTAGAACTATGTCACATAAACTGTGACTAGTGAGCCACTCTCAAAATACAATGAAATAAAAGATGCTGAATGTTGGTTACCTGTTTGGAGAGGAGCCCAGCCGTGGGTGCTTTATCATCAGGATCTGACTCAGGAATAAATTCCAGTGGTTCTTCAGTGTGCAGTCCTGACCACCCAATCCAGAGACCACCGCAGTCTACCACGACAGGGGCTACAGCAGTGACCAAACCCCCAGCGCTACAACAATCCATTTCTATTAAACCTTGTTTCTGTTTACAAATGAGAGTATAATGAGAGAGTACATCAGCTATCTATAAACTTTGTATTATATTGTATTGTGTTTTATTTCATCTGTTTTGCTACATAGTAACACTTGGACATGTCATTCTGTAATACAAGTTAACAAAATAAATCTACAAAGTTACAAACATACTACCAACATTTGTTACAATCATAAGCAATATATAAATACAACATTCCAAAAAATATACAAACTACTATATACAGCTCATGAATGGCTATGACATCCAAACATAAGTACTTGCACCGTCCACTTTTTCATTAAAACTAACAAATTAATTTATCATATAAAAAGAATGTTTCAATAAAAATGATTTGAAGTCTTTTTTTAAAGCTGAAAAACCCACTGAGTTTTTTATTTTGTTTTTGGCACCTTACTATACAATTCTATCCCCATATTTACCACACTTTTTTAAAATAATGTAGTTCTGCAGAATTGAACATGAAAATCCTTGTTTATTCTTGTATTATAACTATGAATATTTATATTTTGGATTGAATCTGCTTTGTGCTTTTTTGTGTAACATAACACCTCTAAGATATACAAAGATGTGACCATGAGGATGCCATAATCTTTAAAAATTTGCCTTCATGACTCTTGTTTACCAAGTCCACTAATTATTCGCAACACCCTCTTCTGCATTTTAAATACCTTTATACTATAACCTTCACCCCCCCCCCAATATTATTCCATATCTCAATAACGATTGGAACTTTCCAAAATAAATGCTTCTTAACATATTTGGACTCAAAACTCCTCTTAGTGATTTAATTATATAGGATGTTTTACTAAGTTTTGAACATAATCACTGGATGTGGGTATTCCATTTTAGGTTTTCTATAATATCTATACCTTAAAATCTCAGTTCCGATGAATAAGCAATTTCCAAGTTATTATGAAGTATCTGCAGTCTAACTACAAACCTATTTTTACTAAGATGGAATGACATAGCAGCTGTTTATTTTCATTCAGGTGATTTATTTCAACAAATTGTACTCGGTGAGATAAATAAGATTTAAACCATAAATTAGTAACCCCTCTGATCCCATGTAATTTAATTTATCTAGTAATAAATTGTGGTCTATCATATCATATGCCTTTGTTAAGTCAAAAAATATTCCTATAACATGTAACCGTCTATCCATTGCCTCCTGTATACTCTCAGTGAAGGTCTGGGAAGCTCTTTCTGTCGATTTGTTTTTCCTAAATCATTTTACACTTCTGTTAATATGGTGTATATTGTTACAAAGGATATCAACCTGTTATACACCAATTTTTCTAGTATTTTGGAGAAAACCGGCTAAATTGATATTGGCTTGTAATTACAAACTTCCTGTCTTACCCCTTTTTATACAGCAGTTTTACTTTAGCTATTTTAATCTTATCCAGAAAGACTCCCGATTTTAAAGAAGCATTGAAAATATGTACTAAAGGTTTCTTTATGTAATGTGAACATCTCTTGGCTGAATATTCTGGAATTTCATCAAAGCCTGCAGATGGTTTACCTCTTAGACTTTTTATTACCCTTTCTATTTCAATTTCAGTAATAGGGAGCCAAAACATTGTGTTCATTTGATACTGAATCCTCTGTTGTGAGGTTTGTACTGGAGAATGGTTTATATTATTCGCTAAAAGATCTTCAACACTTTCAATAAAAAAGGAACTCAACATGTCTGCAATTTTTAGTGGATCTGATGTTCAAGAAGGTCTGATTCAAATAAAGAGGAAGTATTGTAGAATATTCTCATGGAGTTTGGGGTACCAATAAATTAATTAGGCTAACTAAAATGTGTTTAAATGATACATACAGTAAAATCCATATAGGAACCATTTTTCTGATAATTTTTCTATCCAAAATAGTTTGAAACAAAGAGATGTTTTATTGCCTCAGCTTTTCGGTTTTGCTTTGGAATATGCCATTAGAAAGGTACAAGTAAACAAGTTGGGACTGAAATTAAATGGGAAAACATCAGCTTCTGCTCTATGCTGATAATGTGAATCTACTGGGAGATAACATAGATACCATAAAGAAAAGAACAGAAACTTTAACTGACACTAGTAAGGTGGTAGGTATAAATGTAGCAGAGAAAACTTAAGTATATATTTCTGTCTTGTCAACAGAATGCAGGGTAAAATCATGACATAAACACAGTTAACAAAACCACTGAAAATGTGGCTCAGTTCAAATATTGGGGAACGACAGTAATAAATCTAAACTTGATTCAGGAGTAAATTGAGCGATGTTTGAATTCAGATAATTCAGTCCAGAACCTTTTGTCTTCTTTTCTGTTGTCTAAAAACATAAATATTACAATATACAAAACTATAATTTGGCCTGTGGTTATGTATGAGTGAAATTTGGTCTCTGATGTTAAGGGAAGAACATAGACTGAGGGGGTTTGAGAACAGGGTGCTGAGGAGAACATTTACACCGAAGAGAGGTGACGTTATGGGACACTGGAGAAAACTGCATAATGAGGAGTTTCATGACTTGTACTCTTAACCAAGTATAATTAGAATCATCAAGTTAAGGAAGATGAGATGGGAAGGGCATGTAGCACGAATAGGGAAGAGGATGAATGCATACAGGATTTTGGTGGGAAAGCGAGAAGAAAATAGTCCACTAGGAATACCAAGATGTAGGTGAGTGGATAATATTAAAACAGATCTTAGAGAGATAAGTTGAGGTGGTATGGACTGGTTTGATCTGGCTCAGTATAGGGACCAGTGGAGGGCTCTTGTGAACACGGTAATGGATCTTCAGGTTCAATAAAATTTTCGGACATTCTTGAGTAGCTGCACAACAGGCGGCTTCTCAAGAAGGGCTCGTCTCCATGGAGTTAGTGAGCCTGTTTACAATATGGCGAATAATTTTTTATACTTATTTTTGCCGCATAATCTTTTACGTCATTTGTATAGGCAGAGATAAACCAAATATTTGAATTTTTTTTACATGTTTTTCTAATTCTTAGAATTTGTTGGTATTGGTAAGGTTCATATAGTTTTCTCTGTGTGTCTGTTTTGAGACCTATAAGCCTAATGTGACTTGTGCTGGCACTTTGGAGGTTAGATGACGTCAAGTGGTGCATGTTAAACTGGCTCAAATATACATTTACGGTGTCGTGAAGCTCTAATCTGTTTCTTGGGGGTCATTGTCTGCAGATATCGTGAAAGAAAAACAAACAAAATGACCTTACCCAAGTAACTATCTCTATAATACTGAATGTTCTTAAGCTGCTGACGGTTATTGAGCAGATCCAGAGATTTCCCTTACGCGTGCAACACGAAAATTCATTATCACAGAAGCCAGTCCTAATACATTACATCCAGTTCACATATTCACAAGCTCTTCCTCTAATAATAGCAACACACAATGAGATTTCATCAAGCACCTCCTATTTCATAGCTTGCATAACTTCTTGTCTATTCTCCAAAACTATGAACACATTTATGTGAAATACGTGTATGGTTGTGTGGGTTATAACAACATGAGCCATATGCATTTCATTTTGGTAATGTGGGTGAAATATGAACTCATGTTTACGATATATACAAACACGGTTCGTTTTAAAGTACGCTATAAATACCAAAATAAATTCCTCTCATCAACTTTCAACGTTGACCCCACTCACCTATCCAAAACGAAATTATATTAAAATTCACTCAGTAATTCTGGAAATGAAGCGTGGTCTGGTTAGCATTACCAAATGTGTTTCCTAGAGTTTTAACTCGGTCCAACGGCCTGGACCCGGCCAGTATCACACATTTAGAGATATCCGGTATATAACTTCCTATTACTGCTAAGCTGTGCTCTCTTAAGTCAATATGATTCTCATGTGTACTTCAATTCTAGTCCAAAAATCGATTATTAATATCTTCTCAATGGAAGAATACTTAATCGTCTGCTGGAGAAATCTTACTTTATTCCATCCTGGCCTCCTGAACTCACACGCTAAATCTATGTTAAATTTTATTAATTCTGTGGCCATCCGACTTATTAGGAGGCCACTCATGCCCTGTGTAGCACGAACCTCGGTTTCCTCGAAAGTTCTCCGTCCTTATTCCTCTGCAAAACGAATGGCAGGCGGTTGGAGACCACGATCAGCGGGGCAGTGATATGATGCTGAACCATGTCGCTTTGTTCTGTGCACAGAATCTGAAAACACACGATCTTTTTGGTCAGGATCAACTTCGTTTATCTTGAAATTATCATCAATTCATGAAACTGAATAGGAAACCAACATATATGATTGAAATGTACACTTCTTTTTTGGCGGATTAGGCCATCTGACAGTATCCATTTTTTATTTAATCTGAAAACTGTGAATGTTATAGACAGGTGGCGGGACTCTATGGACGGGGGATCATCCTGTCGCAAGGCTGATACCTACACAGGCAACACAGAAGGGGAAAAAAGCAGGCATACATATTTGCTTCGAGTGAGATTCAAACCCACCCTCCCAGCGTTTGAGTGTGCGCACATGTTACATAATGAGAGGGAATTTAGTTAAGAAATTTTCTCATACGTATTTCGTCACGCATACAGACCACAGAAACTCATTTTTTCACGATCTTAAAGTTTTATTCGTCGTGTGAAATGAATTTGAGAGTACTGTATTGGGTAAGGAAAAGTTATCCCTGTAACAGGCCGTGAAACCCATAGGGTTGCGAGACGTCGAGGCTCCCACATTTTACAGACAATCGGCTTACAGATGGCGGTGAGGTTGTCAGCCATACGCGCCGGCCGCCTTCTGCCCCCTAGGAAGATTCCTGGTACTCATTTCTGTTATGGGCTGAGTCCACCCCAGGGCCATAGTGCGGCTGGAAGGGTCAAGTAAATCGATAAAAATCCACCTCATCGGGACCCGAACCCGCGACCTTCCGGCTTGCAGTGTCTCAACCAACTATGCTATCGCCTGTCCCTACTGTATTGGGTAAAGTGTAAAATGAGAGAGGTCGAAAGTATACTGTAGTATTATCGTAAGATTAATTAAAGTGCTTGTATCTTCGTACTAAGCTGTGAATCGATCTGTTGAAAGCGAAATAAGATATCAAATTTTCCTGCGGAATACAAAACGTCAGGGGTCAATTGAAAACACGTGACACAACAATCTGACCAAGTTACTTACGCTGTAAAATTACTTACCTCCTCTATGTCAAGAAACGGAATTTGGATACGTCTGGAATTCGAAGGGGCAGGGATTCTAAGTTTAAATTTGCCGGGCAACTTTAATTTAATTTTTATCGGTCTAACACAACCCCTACTTTATACTAAGATGAAATAATTGTCAAAAATATTTCTACAATGCTGCGTGTTACAAAATGCGACTGTATCTTGTGCAAACCATATAAGTTGTAATTTGTTTAGATCATGATGCTGTATCTGCAACAGACACCAAGACCAAGCGCGTACAGACTTTTGTTCAACTGCTGAGCACTTTCTTTCCCTACGTCAGAAATTAATCCCGCTTCTTGCTGGATACTCCTGTTCCTAAAACAGAACTTCGTAAAAGCCCCTTCGCATATTTTTTGTCGTATGATTGAATTATTTACATTTTTTTATTTTCGTAATTCTGTATCTACAATTTTAAGTCGCCATAATGTGGAAAAATCAATTTGTACCTTTCCGTATTCTGTAAAATACTGCAAAGGAGACCGGGAACCAGAACCCACCTCTTGTTGTCCACTTGTGATGAGCAAAGCGATGTGGAAGCAGCCAGACCCTTTCGGACCAGAGGTTACAATCTTCACTTTATATAGACACAATCACACCAGGATCACTCAGCTTTTCCGATTTATGTCTTGAAAAGAAGAATGAGCAACAGATGTTTTTCTTATGATGGGTTTTGTATGCGCACATTAAAAAAAAAACATTCGGCTATCTTCGGAGTCGAACTTTGGGTCATGTGAACTAATGAACTGACCGGTTGTTCTTCACGCCGATTGCACGTGACAGAAATGTGAAAAGCGAATTATAAAAACTCAGTATATTAATAATTCAAGGAGATTCTGCTGCGGACGTTTCTTATTCCTTACTCATTTGGGCAGAGTTATACCCAGAAGTCACTTGTAGATATGTCATAATGCTGAACAGAGTCTTGTGATCGATTTACAACAGAATCTTGAGAGGATTCCTTCCCTCCCCACCACCACCACCGCCACATGCTCTGATAGCTGCTTGCTGTCAGAGATAGGAAATGTTACAAGCTACAATACAACTGAATTCTCCCTTATTTAGAAGTCGCGGTGTATATTTTGGCACTCGGAAGCTCCAGGATTCGAATCTCGGCCCAGAGATAGGCTAACCTGAGAGCATTTTCATATCTTTTCTTAGCCAATAAAATTCACAGTTCACAAGAGTCCGCCTAATGTATAGAAAACAAACAATGCAACTCAGGACCAGGGATGCTGATAAGCCTTCAGTTCCAGATAACGCTTCATGAGATCAATGACTTACTTAATTTTTTTAATCTTCAATTAACAGAAACATGGCTTTATTTCACATGAAACTGGACAACTCAATAAAGTGACTGGTTGCGGGCTGCAAAACCGAGGTTCGACTCTCAGAAATGGAAAGGATTCTTTACTTTGACACTACTGTGTTCAGCCCAGCATATGGTCACTCTCAAACCTTCGTCAAATAGCAAATCAACGGGAACCCATCATGTCGACCACTTATTTTCTGTCGACCTCTAAAATTAGTAAACATTTACCTCCACGCTTCTATACGTCTTTAGAACGTGATCCACGGGGAACCTTGTTTTCATATTCATTATACATATAAATTAACTATAATAGGGAAGTTTGGGGCTCCGGCTGCGGCTTAAGATTTTGGGTCCCATTCGAACCACCTCGTTAAAGTCAAAGCATGTTCTAAACACCCCAGAAATGTCCATGCCTGTTACATTGAAAACTTACATACCAAAGTCTTGATTTTTTATTTAATTTCACAAAAGTTGGAATTACTTACTAATACAGAAATGTTAAATCGATATCATTAAGTACATGATGTAATTACAGCAAGAGAGAGGGAAGATACATGGGCACATGTATTACGATATCGCTGGGCACTAAATGGAACTGGGAAATAAGCTACAAATTTGAAACTACTTGTATATATAGAGCCTCCCTTGAGGCTCTCGTTTCGGGCTCGGCCGAGCAGACTCGCACCGTCGTATTCACGTCCCAGCGTAAAATTCCGAAATAACTGGGCCATTAACACGGATATTGGTCCCTCCATCAGAACTTTTGTTTATTTCTAACTACATTATCGTGGAATAAGACGTTTTTAATATTGGCTCGCACCTCTGTTTGCCCCTGTCCCATTGACAGTAGCCTAAATTCCTTTATGTGACAATTACCACCGGGCTCTCGCAACGAATGTCAGACTTCAATCTCAGGACAGCCCATTTCGGATATGTGGAAAGAGCGACGTTAAGGGAAGTTGTTTTCTAAGTACTTGGACTTTTCCCTGCCAATTATACTATATCCGTCAAGGTTCTGTACTCATCTGTTACTTTCCCTGAGGCATGCAACAGGTGCGCCGAAGCAGAAAAATAGCAGAACCCTATTTCAATTATAATCAGGGTCTTTGTGGAGTAGGGAATATAAACACATTACATTTTCAAGGCGATGAATGTATAAGGGGTGGGCCTTCTCGGCTCTTGCACCTCGATATTATGAATATTCATGTTGTGAAGTCCCGGCTCATGAGTTATGATGTAGTGCATTACACGGGTGCCTAAGCTGCAGAGGAATGTACTGTTTTTGTCTTCAAGGTACAACAATGTCACAATCCGGAAGTCAAGGCACAGTCAAAACGAGGGGAAGGAAGTTTCATTTTCGTGCCTTGTGGGCACAAAATTTATAAAATAAACTCATAATGGAAGGTTTGTTCATCCGTTTATATGTTTAAAATCAGAAGATATTGAACAAATTTTAACATAGCCTGGTACAGGGATATTCAGAGCTGCTGGACGAATTTAACTTTTGTTCGTATCGGTGCAGTGTAACCACGATGGTACATCAACGGTTCAGAATGAAGCACAACATATAGATCGTACTAAGATCTGAATCTTCTATTTAGGCTAAGTCTACCGAATTACCTTATCAGCACAAAATTGTGAGTTCCACAATCAGTTCAGTTCTCCACACATAATCCAGAACGGAGCCATCTGTATGGAACTGCTCAAAACTAACAGAGGAGCATACTCAAACTTTGTAGAAAAATTAGGATATCTTACCATGTCATGAAACTGGGTGTGTTTTACCTCACGTGCGTATTTAATGAAATGCAAGGAAAACGTTTTCTGTCCGAATGCAGCGTCGTAGCTCTGCTGTTTGTAAACAGTCTGCTACCGAGTTGTGCAACACCCAGCGTTATCAAGTGCATTCAAGGTGAGCAAATGAACTATTGACCTGATCATTTCTGTTAATATGAAAGAAAATGGAAAGATAGTATGATATACAGTGATATAAAAAGAGAGAAAACACGAAATAAGTAAAGAAACAAAGTAGAAAAGAAACAAATAGGCCGTATAAGTTTTTATATTTTCACGGGCGGTGAGTGTTGAGATTGCGTTCTGAGTTTTTGGTCCTAAAGATGGGGGTAACATGTTCCATTGAAACGTTGTTATCCACTACCGAGATTACATTGTGAGATTTCAATTTCTCTAAGATGATGGTATTCACCTCCAGGACTACGGGGTATCATAACCCAGAGGATCATGAAAACTGACAAAAGAAGATATCTGAGATTAATTGTAAAAATTGTCGTTAAATCTAAGAACACGTACAGCAAAACTTAGAAAATATTTGCATTTTTTGACACTGTAAAGAGTAACTTGAGTGTGTGGTAATCTGTATTGGTGAATCCTGTGTAGGGTCACAGCACTCCTTCCCACAAGCGGTCTGGTCTAGAGACCTAGTTCACCGAATTTGAATACTCATGTTGCTTTTCCTACAAGACATAGACGATGATCCAGACTAGCAACCACGTATAGGCTGCCGCTACCATGCAAAGCCTCTTTCACAGGACCTAACGGTATGATCTGTTTAGATATCTAATTCTGAGGATACTTTCAAACTCTTTAAATTATATGTCAATGCTGTTAATAAACGAATATTCTTATTCATGCCTACACCGACCTCGAAATTCTCTAAATCATGTCTTATCTTCCTATTAATTCTGCAGACTTTAAACCGGTGCTATATTTCGCGAGCTCTTTTTATTCATTCTGTCTACACGGTCTGCCAAGCTCTTTCAAGATCTGTAACCTGTTTAGTACTAAACCTTCAGCTTTCGTATACTTCAGTGTTTCTTACTTTTGTCTAACCACGTGCATACGCTAGGAAAAATCATTCATCCAAACATCCGTTTATTCATTGCTTGCACGTGCATTCAGTCTGGAAACTTCGTGGGCTCCGTCTTGACAAACGTAACATGCATTCAGCAGTTATAGTAGACTGAAATGGGCCCAAGCTGAATTCGAATAATAAATCTTGGTGTGAATAAAATTTCATTGAAATTCAAAAAGTGTTTTGTCAGACGGAACAGGCTAACGCAGACATGCCGTCCCCGCGATTTGCACTTCTCGCAAAATGACGCACAATATAATTGTAGTTAAAATAATTATGGAAGATTAGTTCGTTTTAACACAGAATTCCCTAATGACTCACATCTGGTATATTCTAAATTTTCAACTGAGTCGTAATTTTCTACACTGGGAGATGGAAGTTTAAAATGTTATCAGGGCATTAATATAAACAAGCAGAAATATCCACACAGTCTTCGCCCCTTCGCCCGAGATATGGTTGTTTCCCAGTCAGTATTCGAAAATAAGGATTAAAACTGTAAAGAAGGTAAAGTACCACAATTTAAAAAGTGAAGTTCATTCATGCGGTTTCAAAATAATTTCTAATGAGAATTGGAATTCCATCCAAAAATTCTAATGAACAAACAAACAAAAACAAACTCCGTGGTCTATAGTCCGCAAACGAGCTCTACCGACCGAGCGATCGCCTCTTGTCGGCGAAGTTAGTGCCACCTTTAGCGGATAGAGGGTGTCGCGTCGAATCCCCACGGCCGTTAATCTCGGTTTTCTAGACTCTAATACAGTGTTTAATCACCGCTTTGACAGCTTTGGCTAGCGTACATTTTGAAAAGAGTAGGCCTATGGAGTAAATGTCATAATATCTTCCGAGTGTTCTGTTTTAGTCCTTAGTAAGAAGCATAAATCACAGACAATAATTTCCCGCTTTCAGTGACAAAGTTAATTACAGCTACATCGAGGATAGAAATTGCTTTAGTGTAGTCAGGAATGCCGCATCTAATATCAGAAAAATCAACGCGGTAGCCTCAGAATTGAGTATATAAGTGCTATCTTTTTTTAATATTGTCACGTACATGTATTTACGGTGCGTGACTAATTATAACGAGGTTTGGATTGGATCATTGGATTTATTGCTCACTCCTTCACAATCACTCGTAATCACAATAAATCACAATAAATGGCTGCCTAGGACTCGCTCCTTTCTGGTCTCTCTCTTTCCTGATCTGATCACTATTCTATTCTGATCTGAAATACGACTGACTTCTCTTCTAGTCTGTCTTCTCCTGGCTTCTGTCTTCTACTGATCTGAACTCAATTCTGTTTTGTATCCAAAGAAACTCCCGTCTATCACATAGCGACGGGCTGGTTTCCAAGAATCTCTCTCCATGAGAACATGTTCACCACTCAGCGACTTGCTGGCTTCCAGAGTTCACCTCCATGGGAACACGTTTACCAACTCGCTTCCTGGCAATGGGTCTACAAGTCAC